TTTTCGGAACAGAATTTGCAACACCGCTCTAAATATTATTTTATAAAACTGAAGATAGTGTTGAGAGCGGCGATGCAAATGCTCTTCCGAAAAATGTATTTAATATTGATAGTTGCATCAAGCCTCACTAAGATTTCCCTTTTAGGGGCTTGTTTATTTAATACTTGTAATTGAGTTATCTTACAAGGAAACATACCGAGGTGTCCAACGAGTTAAGGGTCGACACCTATACCAAAATGACCACAATACATGACTTATTCAACAAACTGAAGGAATTTCCGTGTAAAATTCACTTTTCGTCAAGTTATGACGATATTTGTGACGAGCACATGACTGTCGGGTTGCCAGCGGGAGAGGTCGGCCGCTGAACGATCAGGTCGACCACAGAGAAGCGTCGTCGTCTTCACGTCGTCTTCACGTCGTCTTCAGAGATTTCAAATTCTTTCAAATTTTGAAAACCACTTGAAATTTTGAAATCCACTTGAAATTTTGAAAAGAATTGAAATTTCTTCAAAATTTCAAAATTTTCTCAAAATTTCAAGATTTTCTCAAAATTTCAAAGTTTTCTCAAAATTTCAAAATTTTCTCAAAATTTCAAAATTTTCTCAAAATTTCAAAATTTTCTCAAAATTTCAAAATTTTCTCAAAATTTCAAAATTTTCTCAAAATTTCAAAATTTTCTCAAAATTTCAAAATTTTCTCAAAATTTCAAAATTTTCTCAAAATTTCAAAATTTTGTCAAAATTTCAAAATTTTCTCAAAATTTCAAAATTTTCTCAAATTTTCAAAATTTTAAGATGTTTTCAAAATTTGAAAGAATTTGAAATCTCTGAAGACGACGACGCTTCTCTGTTTCGACCTGATCGTTCAGCGGCCGACCTCTCCCGCTGGCAACCCGACAGTCATGCGCTCGTCACAAATATCGTCACAACTTGACGAAAAGTGAATTTTACACGGAAATTCCTTCAGTTTGTTTAATAAGTCATGTGTTGTGGTCATTTTGGTATAGGTGTCGACCCTTAACTCGTTGGACACCTAGGTATGTTCCCTTGTTAGATGTTGTTGCCAATGGCATTTAAGTTTTTACAACTACATAATTTTTATCCATTTTTGAGTTTTCAAACTTGAGTATCTATGTCATTTATTAACCGATTTTGATCATATTTATATCAAAATATGCAAAATAAGCAGCTCTAAAATATTTGCAACTAATATCTGACATATTATGCTCCGGAAATTAACTAAAAATCATAATGTGTTTCCAAGAGCACAATGTTGCTTATAACTCGCGTAAAAATCCAAAATTTGCTAAACCGGTTCGCAGGTCGTTTCTAAACACTGCAACAATGATCTGTGCAAAATTTCATCAAAATCGGTTGAGAAATGACTGAGATATCGCAGGTGGTCACTTTTTTGGGGTGGGGTAAATGCATACTTAGCAATTTTTTTTCGTTGTTAAGTATTTGCCTCACTAAGAAAAAAGTCCTTCAAAGGAAAGATAAGTGTCATATGATTCCTAATTTTCGGCTCGATTTTTTAATATAACTCGCCTCCTAATCCCGGTGTATCTTGATAAAAAGTTCCATTTTGCGAGAGTCAAGAAGTTAACCGTGTCGGTGACGGGATTCTGTGCCATTCTTCTCGTTCTTGAAGGTGAAACTTATTACGGCTTCTTTTTCAATACAAGACAAACAAGGCAATAAGCGGGTTGGTGAAAGCAATGGAAGTGCTACAAATACTGGTTGGTGAAAGCGTAGTCGTAGCAGTGTCGTTATGCAAACGGAATAGGAGAGCAATAAAGCGAGGAAACAAGACTGCTGGTTATTCGTCTCCTCTCCTCACCACTACGACAACATTGCACTTTCTCATTGAACCGAAGTTCCGAATTGATTTTGGATCCACTCCAAGGGCCGAGGAGAGAAGACAACGCTACTTTCACTTTTACTTTCTCTCCGTCGACACTCCACATACGAACATACACACTCCTTGAGCAAATGTAGTGTTCCTTGTTCCGTACATACTTTCTTTTCTAAGGGTGCGGGCAGTGTTTCGGGTGAAAGTCACCAACCAATTGCAAGAAATAAGGGGGAGAAAATGGTTTCTTGAAGGTGAATATTTTCAGCTGGGAGAAATGCGAGGCCCAAGAAACTACGTCCCGCCGTGATATTTTATAAGGCGCGTGGATAGATGGCGCATATTTCTTGCACTTTCTCCCAGTTTCTTGCACCTCGCATTTCTTGGATTATTTGTTTTGTATTGCAAGAAATGTACCAAACCCGCAAGAAACGGAACCCTGGCTGCTTTTAAGGCGGCTTCGACTACATCGTGTCGCGACTTATTCATTCACCACTTGCACATACATGCTTTCAATTACCACATTGAATATTTTGGAGGGTTTTACTTCTTTCCATGGGTAGCGCCAACAAGAAGGCACTTTAGCTTTAGTTTCGATCCTTATTTATATCGTACAACCAGCTACTAGTTGCGACTCTATTTATACACATTTTTTTTTTACTTGGATGGCCTACAAGGAATGACGTGGATTGAATAAGATTTTCGGGAGTCGCTTTGAACTTGGGAAATGTGTTGGTGGGCAATGATGATGAAAGAAAAAAATATGATAGGATTTGCTCATTTTGTTTCAAAGCTGATTTCACGTAATCTTGAAAGAAAGGATCAAAGCGACATTTTTTTGGGATAATGATTACACATTCAATTTTTTGCAGTGATCCGAATTTCAAGGTTTTTACGTAACTAATTGTCATGGAGGGAAAGCATGTCAAACTAGTGGTTGATAGTAGGGCACATTTTTTAGGGATTATTATTAGAAATTCAGTTATTCAATAATCAGATTTTTAAGATTTTTATGTAACGAACTAACATATTGCAGATTTCCTATCGTCATTATTTTTTGCATTGAGTGAAAGTTTGTCAAACTAGTAGTTCATAGTCCGGCCCGTTTTTTTGGGATTATTATCACAAATTTAATTATTCAATTATGAGAATTTTAAGATTTTTTTACATAACGAGTTGTAAATTTTATTATCCTCATTGATTCGTGCATTGAGTGAAAGCATGACAAACTACACTACTTTAGATAATGATCACAAATTCTATTTTTTAACGATCATAATTTCAAGGTTTTTATATAACAAACTAATTGCCTATTTTCCTCTCTTTATTCTTTCATGCATTGAGTGATGTCATGTCAACCTTGATTATCCGGTCCTTTCTTCCCCGATGAAAATACAGTTATCAAACGGACGCCGTATTATTTTATAGGCCATTATTTTCCGTACTAAACAATAAAAAATTACTCCCACAATCATTTGATCGATACAACAATAAAGACAGTGCCCGCCTAATCACACGTGTCGCACGTGAATTCATCACATCACCCCCACAATTACACGACTTTGACTGCGACACAATGTAATCCCAAGCTTAATGTAGCAACGTTTAGAGGTATTTTGAGAATCTGCAAAGTCAATCTCATCTCGTGTGTCGATCTCTCTCTCTCTGCGGTTTCCAGCTTCAGCCTTTGTTATCCCAGATTTGCCTACTTTCCATCCACGTGTACATGTGTTTGATGCGGTGCTTAAAGCTAATATAATGTAATACTTTCCATTTACTTGAGAGTAAAGTCAATCTTCCGCACATTCCAGGGATCTTATTTCGTCTATCTCGCAGCCAAAAAATTCACCCAGCACGAAAACTTTCTCCTCCTGCATTCCCCAGCTTGCTCGAGGCCCCGCAACTTTTCGCAGATTCCATCTCACTTTCTCCTCTCGCTAGAAATACATAGTCGTAAATTCCATTATGTATTGTTACCCGCTTGAAATGTATTGATTCGCCTACGCGATAATATCTTAAATGGTGATATATGTATGTAGAAAACCTTATAATTATCAGGCTTACTTGCATATATTCACATCCTGCACCTGAATATGTATGAATCAACTGTGTGCACAGTTAAAAATGGGGGGAAATCATATTGCTGGTATTGATTTGGTAATAACTTTCTCCCAGATTGGTAAAACATAGTTTGTTTCTGAGTGGTAAATTTTCATTACCACGGCATTACTGCTCGGTATTACCGTACCGACGAAGTCATAGATATGTACTCGGGGCAGTAATGATTCAATATCATTTTGCACATTCTCATAGATAAGTCACCTTCTGACCGTAAGAAACTGCCTCCGGGGTCGGTAATATTCTTATTACCACAGCATTAACATGACATTATGCAGAATTCAACCTCTGTATATTCCCCTTCGGCTCTAAATGATTACCAAAACGGTAAAATTGCATAGTACCTCCACCTCCGGTAACAATCCTGTCAAATTATTGAGAGTGCATATGCAAATGCAAACAAATACCTTATCATCAAAAGTGGCCCAGCCCCCTCATTTTATTTTATCTACGTTCGCATTACATCCGCCAATACTTGAAAGTTTGGTAAAACTGAATCCTCTTTCAATTTGCGTCATAACAAATTTAACGGTTGAGAGTTCTGAGAAAGCCTTCATCCCATCCATCCATTCACTCACTCACATGTACATACATTCTGTCACTGCTTGGAGCATTTCTCCCCTTGAATAGGATTACTTCTCCTTATTGCCCAAAGAACTCTCGGTATTCCGATTCCTTTCCAGTTCTTTCTTTCTCTCTTTCTTTGAACACAAATGTTGCGCTTTCACCAACCAACCAACCAAGTGCCAAATGAATAAATTCTCTTCAACTCTCTCCAGTATCAAGTTATCAAAAGTGGATTCATTTTCAAGTGGTAGTGGTGGTGGAGAAAGCGGCGGTGTAAGTAGAACCAGCAGGCAGGCAGGTAGATCACAGAAAAAGAGAAAGCAGTGGCAAAGCTGGAGGTGGAGGGCAAAACGAAGAGGGCGAAACCCGACCAAAACTGCGAGCAGGGAATTGACGACGAGTGTTTGCAAATTCTGAGTTGAGCTGAGAAGAGAAAGCACTACCTCAGACAGACCCTGAACCGCGGTCGGAGCGAACGGAGCCCATGGGAGTCTCAAAAGTTATTATTTTTAATAGAGTTCTTCATCCAGAGGAGAAGAAATAGTGCATATGCAGATTCATATATAGATTTCGCCGTCTTCATTTTACTTCAATTCATCCTTCAAATTTTAACCTAAATAACGACCCATTCCACATGCACATTCTCTGCTTCTTGAATGGTGAAAGTGGTCGTGAATAAAAGTAAAGTGCCTCCGTTTCGCAGACTGCGTCTTTACAATTCTGGATTCTAAAGAGGACCTAAGGAGAAAGCGAACATTGTGCGAGGCAGGCAGGCAAGTGTCCAAAAATAAGAGAAAGTTGGAAATCAAACTGCTGAGTGGTGCAAATTGCGGGCAAGACAGCTGCTAATTCCACGATTTAGGAGCAGACAAAGAAAAATAAGAAGAGTAAGTACAATTTGATAAACATCTCGAGGGAAATTACGCAATATGCATGGGATGAATTTTCTCTTTCGCATCATGAATTTTCTTCTTTCGGGCAGTTGGTCTCATTTCGTTGGTATGAAATGGGTTGATACTAGTTGAGAGATTGGTCTCATTCATGCATGGGTAGAAAGATAACAATAATGACGAAAGACCAGTGTCTTACATTTCGCAACAAGAAACTACACTTTCACATTGATGAATAATAATGGAGATCTCTCAGCGGATGGTCTTAGATTTTGAGAGTAAGCTAGTGTCATTCGATCAGAAATGTAATTAGTATGCAATTTGCGAAAGACACGATCTCCCAATGGGCACGTTTGGCAGAGATATTTGCATCCGAAGAGGAGAAAACGCGCAGTAAATTTGGAAAGTGTAAGATTTGTCAACTTTTTGGGTGTGTTTTCTCCCCTTCGGATGCAAATATCTCTGCCAACCGAGCCCATTGGGAGATCGCTTCCTTTGCAAGTTTCATATTACTTAAATTTTCGTTCGATTGACACTAGTTCGCCAAAAATTTGAGATCATACCCCGGGACACCTCTACCTTTAGTTTACTCTATACCTGCCCCATTTCCTTAGTCTTCATCATCATGAATATTTCTCACCCACGTCACATCACATTGTCTTCTTCCTCAATCCTCTACTCCTTTCTCTCCAAGATGCCAAGCCCCTGCCTGCCACCGAGCAGATAATCCCTGCATTGTCACCCGCCTTGTCATATCGACATCACAACCAACTCAACTACCGAATTCAATCCGGCATCATCTGAAATCCGATCTGCAAACCAACCAACTTGGTTAAAATGTGTAATCCAGATTCTGACATTCTGACCACGTATATAATTTAATTTCCCACAAGCTTCGTCCAAACCAAACCAAACCAAACCAAACCACGAGTCTCATTTATTTTAATGAATTCTTCATCATTCCGCCACATTGAGCAGGCCAAACAGGCATACATCACTTAAACAAACAGTGACATGCAGACTGACAGAGGCGCAAGAAACACAAAGAAATTCATTTTTCATTTCCTCCTCCTCGACTCTGCGATTATATAAACAGTGAGACGGGTGGAATTATGTGAGTGAGTAGTGAGACACATGGATGATATTATTGCCCTTTGCATTATTTATTTATTTGACTGGAGAAAGTCAGAGTACGAGTAATATTCCCGTTTTTGGGGTGGAAGAAGGGTTTCGATTGATAAAAACCAGAGCGGTGGGAGAAAGCGGGAAAAATGGAGTTTTTACCACCCACTCGAAAGAATTAAGGACCCGGTGAAAATGGGGAAAAATGAGGAAAACCTGTTTTCTGAAACCTGCAATCTGAAACAACTTATTTAAAAATGAGTATGTCATTTTCAAAAGGTGGCTTTATATCCGTATTCACCATCAATTTCTAAGAAAATAAGTTGATAATTTCAAAATGAGTACGTATTTATATATATGAGAAAATTGTAAAAACGAACAAACCTGTTCAAACATTCCCGTATTACATACCCAAATTTTCAGAAATTCATAAAGATGACGTGAATGAGGTCCAATTCCAAAAATATTGGTTATTATAGAAATTAGCTTTCTCCATAGCCATGTAAATCCATGGGCTGCCATTTTTTCCGTTTCACCCGGTAAAAACCATTTTAGCCCGGTTATTCTCGCTTTTCCCCACTTACCTTTGGGAAATAGTTTTGGGCGAGAAAAACGAAACACTGTACTACGAGTATACTGACGAAATGATGGATAATAATAGGTTCGCGGAGATAGAGCAGCAATTTCGGTCGGGTTTTCGGCAAACTAATGCAATGCAATATCAATTCGCAATTTATTGTTGTTGTGAAAGTCAAAGCTCAACCGAGTAATGGCTCCTGTTCCGTGCAATATGAGAAAATTTGTGTGTGCTGGCTGGCATGCACTGGTGTACGCCGGTATGTACGAGTACGAGTACATACGTGTTCTGTGTTCTTTTCTAGTTCAAAGGAAATTCAGAGAAAGAGAAAGTGGATTATTGCATACGAACAGGAGAGCGAGAGAGAAAGCGAAAAATGACGAAACGAAGCTTTAGCTTACTTATGTTATGTACCTCATCCACCAACTAAACTACATCTCTGCTCGTCTATTTTTACAGAGGTGGGCAAATTACTGGGTCGAAATTCCGGGGGTGTTACACCCACAAAAAGAGGAGAATCTTCGTAGAGAAAGCAGTAGTCGTACGAAAATACAGGTTTCGTGAGGAAATTAACTTTTTATCGCTGTGAAACTACTTAAAATCGTGAAACTAACGTATTTTGAGAACGACAAAGAGTTAATTTCTTCATAAAATTATACCGTCGTATCATTTTTGTCATCTCGATGCAGATTCCCGCCTTTTTGTGGGTGTAACAACCCCGGAAATCAAAACCCTGGGAAGAACAAAGCTACTGTATTTTGACCCAGTATTTTGCCCAGCTCTGCCATTTTATCCCAAATATTCGAATTTCCCTACATACCTACATGAGCCCCTAAATAATAATCCACACACGAGAACGAAATGAAATAAATGAAATACAAACCCACCTTTCGGCAACGAATTGCGCATTTATCACATCACAAAAGCTTTTTGTTTTTTGTGTGTTCTTTACCGTCGGCCTTCATGGAGAAAGTTGGATAAAAGAGAAAATCCCAAATATTCAGAACAAATTTATTACTCACAACTAAATAAATATTTAATTAGGCAGGTACAAATTCCAGTTCGAACTCTTTTCAATCATATTATGATTACAGGCTAATTCAAAATTAGCCTTGTGCATAAATCGCAAATTGCATAGTAGTGTTTGCACTTGGTGAAAGTGGAGAATGAGAAATGTGAAAGGGAAGTTTCTCATGTCACAATACACGTTCCCAATACGCCCCAAATATTGTTACATGTATGTAAACGTATTACACGCACCGAACCGCTTTGGAATTTCTCTCTGCCACGATGGACTGGACACTTGTACATTCTCTCAAGCACCACTCGTAATGCGACTCGAGACTGTGTTTTGGTATTCCCCAGAAGCACACCAATCTCCCGTCGTCCGAGTACCACAGAGCTGCTTTCTCTACAGAAACACATATTGAACTGACAATAGGGGACGCGAACCAAGTTCAGCCCAAATATTTTTTGACCACTATCTTTTTTAGAGTTATATCAAAAAATTTAGCCAAAAATTAAGAATCACATATCTATCACATATCACATAAGAACACTTATCTTTCCGTTGAATGGCCAAATCAAAGAAAAATATAAAGAGTCGAAGTTCACACGCTCCCCTTAGTTTTCGGCCCTCGGACAAAAAGAGAAAATTTGTACAAAAATTGAACTTTGCGCCTATATTTTTCTTCAAAGTGGCCATTCAATGGAAAGATAAGTGTCGTGTGATTTCTAATTTTTGGCCTAATTTTGTGACATAGCTCGCTAAAAAATCCTGGTGTAGCTTGAAAAAGGTTCCAAAACTTGTGCACATGCGAAAAGTTCAGCAAGTTAAGGGCGCCGCGAGTTCGCGCAAATTCACAGTTTTCCAGAAAAATCTGTGCCATGAGTCATCAGTTGCGCTTTTTTGCGAACTTGTGGCACCCATAACTTGCTGAAATTTTCGCATCTGCGCATACTCCGCAATAAATATTGTCTCTAAAGAGTCGTTCTATCAAACTAACATGGTCACAAAATAATCTAGGCTGAACATGGTTCGGGTCCCTTATGTGCCCATATTTTATTAGGTGATCCTGTCCAACAGCCGGTCGGTTTGTCAGGCCACATTGGACGGATGGAACGGCATGAGGAAGAAATATGTATAAAGGGAGCAGCATGCAGCAGAGTTGGAGTTAGTTTGTGCCCGGAAAAAGGGAGACAGACATGAAAAGCGGTTTCATTTTGTTGTCTCGTGGCCGCCGTGTTGGTGTTGGTGGCATCATCATCCTTCGTTCCTGTGAGAGTGACACTATCGCAAGTGAAAGTTACTGCACGAGAAGAAGAAGCACGTTGACGACGACGACGACGGAACCATTCATATCGTTGGAGAAGAAAGGATTCACGCACAAGGAAGAAAAAGCAAAGAAGAATCATTATTGGCGTTTTGGACTAACGAGAAAGTCAGAAAAAGGGTTACGAAATGTGGCTCTTTCTAGCAGGAATTTTGATGGTGAGTTGAAAAATCCTTGCATTTTGTAGACTACATTTTTACTCAGGGGACGCGGAAGCTGTGGGGATATCGGGGGATATTAGCATTGTAGGATGGTGGGAGGGAGAGGTTTATATAAGATGGGGAGATGATGGGGACGTCGAATAATCGGAGGGACATTGTCCCTCTGTCGACACACTTCCGCGGTCACTGGTTGGTTCGTAGTGCATGGATGGACAGTGACCGCGGAAGAAGTGGGGGCATCTGGGGACTTTAATATTGTAGGATAGAGTAGAAAGGGATTTATATATATATATATAACATGGGTAGATGATGGGAACATCGAATAATTGTGGCGACATTGTCCCCCTGTCCCCACCCTTCCGCGGCCACTGCTTTCATTTTTCAAGTTTTCAAACTTTTCTGTTCCGCGGAGATAATGTTTCGACACTTTTCGCGTTAGTTAGAAAAATGACAAATGATGTTGGGATGGAGAAAGTCGTGTATGTACGACTCGGATAAAATTGTGATGTTATAGAAGGAGGATGTGGGGTTAGTTTTTGGTTCGACATATTGCGGATTTCGGTCATTAGCAGGGAGATTATTGATTGAAACCAGAAATCGCATTTTGTACTTACTTACTTACTGACGTCAAATTTGAGTAGGAGGTGGAGTAGATGGAGTGATATATATAGTCGATCATAATTTTCCTGTATGTCCGTTGATTTTTTTCATTCAGAAAATATTTTCGCATGCATATCAGAATCCTACGTCCAGCCCAGCCCACACACTAACGAAGAACTAACCCACACAAAACTAACCTAGGCTCTCCTTATCCGAGACAAAATTATCACGTTAAATAGGTACATTTGTAATTAGTAGCTAAATCAAAATTCCCAAAATGAGACGAAAAGTTCTGTCAGATTGGTGAATTTTTTCACTCGCAAAATATTTTCGCATATCATGTCAGTCCATCAACTAGTATATGGCTTGATTTTTGTAAATTATAGACTTTTTTACATGCGAAACTTATCGTTGTTATTTTAAAAACTAAACTATAACTACCCACAAAACTAACCTATGGTTTCCATCCTATAGAAAATTTTCGCATGAAATTTGTACATGTCTAATTAGCACCCAGACGGCCAAAATGAGACGAAAAGTTCTGTAAGAATTTTTAATTTTCTCATTAGCAAAATATTTTTTGCATATAAATAATTTCCAGTCCACACACGAGTATGGTCTGATTTTGTAGATAAGAGATTTTTCTATATGCAAAACTTATGGCTGTTATTTAAAAAATCAAACCATAACTAACCCACACAAAACTAACCTAGGCTTGCCCTATCCCGGAGAAAATTATCCCGTTAAATATGTACATGTGTAATTAGTAGCTAAAGCAAAATGGTCAAAATGAGACGAAAAGTCCATTATGGACGATGGATGGATGGCCTTCAGAACATGTGGAGAAGAAGAAGAAACGAATTAATTACTTGATTACTTTGCTCTCTCTCTTTGAACAAGGACAATACAAACAAACTAGCATGTCACCAGCGGCGACCTCATCCGCCTGTCTCTCTGTCCATCTAGAATTTCCAATTATCTCGAAACACAGAGAATTCCTATGCAATTAACAATCTCATGAGATTTTGTGACATTTGTCTTTCGTGTCGCATCACTTCACGGAGGATGAGCGTACTCACGACAACGTCTCATTTCGCATCGCTACTCGTTTAGCTAAATTGCTAACAAGGGACACTCACGACCTGTCGTTTGAGTCCAGGGTACCCACTATGTTTTTTAGAACCTACTAGGACCCCTGATGAAGGTTTCGTTCATATTTCCGTGTAAAACTCATATTTGGCCCAATGGCGTGGCGCTAAACTTAAAAATTTGCATTTTCGACCAACTTCAAACCCCCATAACTTTTGCAGTTTATGTCGGATTTTTAAAATTTTATGCTTAAAATGATCAGAAAAGTCCAAATTTTAGAGAAAAAAAATAAAAATAAAAAAATTTTAATTTTTGAGATATTTTTAGCATTTTTTCGACGAACCCGAAATTTCGAAATTTTGCGAAAAGTTAAAAGCGATAATTTTGGAAAAAAATTCATAAAATACGAAAGTTGAACTCCTTGTCATGATTTTTGCCAAAAATTTTGAAAATCCGTCCAGGATTTCAAAAGTTCTGGCGGTTTTAAAATGAAAAACCATCAAATTAGGCGAATTTGGCGCTACGCCATGGCGCCAAATATGAGTTTTACACGGAAATATGAATGAATCCTTCATCTTGGGTCCTAGTAGATTCTAAAAAACATAGTGGGTACCCTGGACTCAAACGACAGGTCGTGAGTGTCCCTTGTAAGATCAAATAATTTGTGGAGTGAGAGGATTCACAAAATGTGACTTCGAAAATCTCGCCAATCTAAAAACTCCTGTTTTCTGATATTGTTTTGTGGATTTCTATTATTTCCCTTGCTGGTATGACTTTGCGAAATAATTTAGCGAAGTAAGAAAATGCTTAAATGTAAATTTGAGAAAAAAATGCAATGGTTTTCCAGCAGCATTTTTCTCGCAAATTTCGCAAAACTTGGCGAAAGTTATGTTGCTAAATTCACAAAATATGACTTCGCAAATCTCGCGAAATCTACTAAAGGCACTTATTTTTTTAGTGTTTCATGGATCTCTGTAATTTCTCTTATTGGTATTGATGGTGATTTTGCGAAATAAGTTTACGAAATAAAAACATGCCCAATTGCTGGATAAATTGGTGACAAAAATCCGGCACACTTTTTGCGAAATCCCGCAAATTTCGCAAGTTATGTTGCCATTCTCAATTTGCGAGTTATGCTTATTATCTATTTAAATAAATTGCAGGTCTACTTTCTCGGCTTTCTCATCTACCTGTGTTACAACACGGCTCGGAAGAAGGCCAACTCACCTACCGATGTTGAAAATCCGTCCGCCGGAAGTACCCTATCCGCCCTTCGAGCCGATGGGACCGTGGTGACCACCACCCTCGCGAGAAGTAGCAGTATAGGAAATTGTTGTGACCATCACCCCCAAAATTGGCGACGACCACCACCACCCCCCTGCCGCCGGAACAGTAACCCCCCGACCAGTTTCGATTTCGCCGTGCCAAGTTGCCTTTACTACGACGAGATCACCCAGAGAAGCAGCGACCTTCCGCAGTCCGCTTTGACCGCGTATCGAGGCCAACAATTACGCCAGATCAAGCTCGAAATCAATGAATTGTCCCGCAGACTCGGGATCGGCCAACTTTACCGGGGTGAGTGAACAATTAATTACTTTTAGGAGGGAATAATTACCCGGGCAAGGGCAAGTTAGTTTTCCTGTCTGGTGAAAGTAACTTGTGGAGACGGCTTGTCGGAAAGGAGAGAAAGTCTTTTTTGAGCATTAAAGTTTTAAAAGGATTTATTTTTTTATGGCGAATGTTCTCCTCCTAACTTAACCACCAGTGGTGGCGGAAAGTGGGTGGAGGGACGTATGGGGACACTAACGTATATATTTTATAATTTGACCCTTTTCTCGATAAGAATTACAAACAAAAAGGTCTAATTTTTATGCACAAACCATAGAATTGTGAGGAGAATTTTTGAGGGAAAAATGTCCCCCTGTCCTAACACCTTCCGCGGCCACTGCTAAACCACCCACACAAACCCAGCCTGCCAACCAACCGACCAACTTTTGCTGAGTTAAGCCGTCTTCTCTCTTCTCTATTTTCCAACAAAAACACGAAGAAAATTAAGCAAGGACACTTTATTTAAGGAAAAACAGGGTTTCTTCAACTTGTCGCAATTCCCTAGTCACTTATTTACCACTTGACGGCACAAGGTTAATGGGCGTGACCCTGTTTGCCATGAAAAAGAAACAATTATTTCACCCGACGAACAATTGCTGTCTGTCACTTAAGTAATCGGCAATTCAAGTCGTACTTTTACCAAGGCGTACTTTCACTAATTTCCTAAGCTAAACTATGAGCATAAACTTGCTTAAATGAATGTCGGGGAATGAATGAACTCTAGATGACGACGACGAAGACCATGTACTTACTTAGTTGAAGGGCTAATTAACCATTGTGCATAAATTAGAGTCACTCCTCACTTAAGGCGACTGTCATGCGTCCTCAAGCTGGAAACTAAATAGAATTCATGACGTGACTTTACATTGATTAAGCGAGGGAACAAACAAGTAACCAGTTATGTAATGAACCCTTTATCCACAACGAGTACTAAGAATGGGGGAGCAAACCATGTTCAACCCACATTATTATTTTTTAATAATTTAATTTTGAACAAACAGCTTTCTACAAACAATATTAGTAAGGAACTTGCATACATGCGCAAAATTCAGTTCGAGAAAACGCTCAGTTTTTGAGAGGAATCATTACGAGAAAAAGCTGAGATTCTACCCAAAAGCACCGATTCCGCTCGAAACCCAAGCGTTTTTGGGAACTTGCGGCGCCCGAAATTCGCTGGATTATGGGCATCTGTACAAGTTCCATTGTTTCTAAATTGTTGCTCTTCCAAATTAGCATAGTTAAAAAATAATCTGGGCTGAATATGGTTTGCGTCCCCATTTTCTTAAGGGGGAGAAAATTTTCAGAGTTGTTCTTGCAAATTAATATGGCCAAAAATAACCTGGATTGAACATGGTTTGCATTTCCCTTTTTTAAGTGGGAGAAAGTTGCAGAGGGTAAAAGTTAGTGAAACCAGTTACTCATGCTCGGATGCTCACTTCTTCTTGCTAATAAGGATTCCGTCACATCATTCATCCCAAATCTGAAATCGTTCTGTCTCTTATCCCGAAATTAAATTAGCTCTTTTGTCTCCTCCATGGAGTGGCATGAACTCCCGTTAAAAGCAGTTTTATTCCGTGTCACTCAACCAGAAGTGGTGTCACATAGTTTAATTCGCATTCATTCCACGAAACCTAGACGTTGACGGATTCTGTGGTGTGAAGTGTGTTTGCTGTGCTGTGCTACTTTCTAGATAATCAAAGCGTATCATTTTCTGGAATGGAGTTGAAGGACATGTTGGTGAGGTGGGTGGTGGTGGTTTGGAGAAAGCACGCTTAAACCAAACTGTTGCACTTTAGTGTGGTCCGATTTGGGACTAACTTTCTCCTTTATTCTGATTGAAGTCTCTGAGGAGGAGGAGATGTGTGTGTTAAATAGATTTTCAGTTTATCGCGACAGTAAATCTGACTTTCTAGTGTTTCCTAGTATTTGGCATAAATGATTTCCGAGCACTTTGCATAAATGATTTATTCCTGGTTTTATGACATGAATAATTCTGGGATACGATTGTTCCCGGCGAGGATGCGCTACCGCGTGGTAATACTATCATCGAAATAAGTTATATTCTAAGAGTAAGAAATTGTTTGCGGTGTTGGTAGTATTTTTATTAAAAGAGCGTTGAGATTGGGAGGTTAGGAGGATTTAGCCTATGTAAATATGTCACCCTTCGTTGACAAATTATTACCGAAGGGTAGAATTGCATACACTGTTAGAAATCTGGTAAAGTCACGTATCTAGGTATTAAGGTTGCTACAGCTAGGTATTAAAATCATACCGGTCGGTAAAAATATTTCCTAGCGAAATGGTAAACTTTTAATACGGAGGTATATACAACTGCACGGTATGACTTATTCGATAGAGTCATATAGGAACACCGCTTGGTATTATTTTAATACCGGATTTCTAAGAGTGTATAGTACCTCTGCCGGTAACAATCGTACCATCACACTATTAGAAGCGTAGTAGATAAGTAAATGCCTAATAAAAGTGAAGTTCGTACTTAAATAAGCATGCCAGGAACTGTCTGCAATTACCAAGTAATAGAAACTTGTCAGTTTAACTTTCCAGTTTGAGTTTTTCATTACCTAATGACACAAGTAGCAGAGCCTACTAATTATTTTGGGGCAACTTTCTCCTTCCTGCAGAAATTTGATACTTCTTAACAAGCTGTTACCCCTGTTTTTTTTTTGACTGACTGTCTGAGTGAAGTAAAACTTGGTGATAAGACGACTTTTAATTTGACCATCTTTCTCTTCTCCTCCACTAAACTTTGTAACTCTACGTTACGAGTAAAAATGATTAATCGTTTCATTCTTTCTCCTCCACTTTCACTCTCCCAGAACGTCAACTCTATCTCCAATCGGAAAGTCGGAGGAGAGGCAGTTGTAGGACCACTTTCGACTACAGCCTCATCCCACAGAGGGACGATGTCCTGCTGCCCATCACTCCAAATAATGACATGACATTCACATCGTCACCAAGACGAGAAAGACGACGGCCACGACGAGCACGGCGAAGGATCACATTGGTACAAACGTTAGAGTATTTTATAACAATAAGTAAGAGTTGAAAAGCTCCCAACATCAAGAAATGTTTCTGTTCCGGGACAGACAAAAATAAAGGCGAAGTAATTTCTTGATTTCATAAAAAAATCATATAAAATTAAGATTTTGGATGAAATTTTTCAAGTATACATTTTTTGGACACTATTATTTCCCTCAAAATGTGGAGAAAACGATTTTTTTTCGAAACTATGGGGAATTATGTGGTAACCTGAGTGCACTATACCCAATATCAATTCAATGGGATATGGTATGTCTTTAGTAGTGAATTGAGATCGTGTATGTAAGTTCATTAAATAACGAATTCATGAACAGGACATTACAAGAGATAGAAAATAACATCGCTGGTACGTCCCAGTGGTGACAACCTTGGTGTCTGGATATTGAGGCTGGGAGTTCTTCTCCCGGCCAACGCGATATTTTCGCACTCTTGGAATTTTCCTGTTACAAAATTGAGGCACCGGTGAGAATTGAACTCACGACCGCCTGTTTACCAGACAAGCGGATTTTGTAACAGGAACATTTCAAAAGTGCAAAAATATCGCGTTGGTCAGGAGAAGAACTCCAAACCTTAAAATCCGGACACCCAGGTTGTCACCACTGTGACATACCAACAATGTTTTTATGTAATGGTCTGTTTGTGAATTCTGTATTTAATGTATTAAATGAACTTACATACTGCTCAATGCCTTGCAGCTTCCACGGCTGCTTATATACGATACGTGAACGATGATGCTCACTATATCCAGGGCAGGTGCACTGTGTGCGGAACATTAAAAAAGCGGACAAATTATTTTTAGGTTCGAGCCCCAGTCGGGGCATTAGTTTTGTTTGCATTTTTGTTGACTCTTTAAGGGTGGAGGGTTCAGAAACCACTATCCCTTTGAACTACGATGACCCGGTGACCGTGTAGACGGGATGAAAAGTGCGAAAATTTGATACTTTTCACTTTTCTACACGATGTCTACACGATCACCGGGTCATCGTAGTTCAAAGGGATAGTGGTTTCTGAACCCTCCACCCTTAAAAAGTCAACAAAAATGCAAACAAAACTAATGCCCCGACTGGGGCTCGAACCTAAAAATAATTTGTCCGCTTTTTTAATGTTCCGCACACTGTGCACCTACCCTGGATATAGTGAGCATCATCGTTCTCGTAACGTATATAAGCACCCGTGGAAGCTGCAAGGCATTGAGCAGTACACGATCTCAACTCACTACTAAAGACGAACCTATGAAGCTACTATCCCATTGATATTGTGTATACCTAGTGCACTCAGGATACAGTGTTATCCCATAAAAACTATTGTGCCCTTATTTTAGTCTATATCGGAACAAAAAAAGTTGTCATTTTCAAAATTTACCTTAGACTTTTCCACCCTAGATATTATTATTAAATGCTTTAAGGTACAAACGACCACGACCACGACTGGGGGACCAACTACCATGACCAGAACGGCGGAGGACGACATAATGAATGATGACGAAGAAGATAGATCATCATCCAACTCATCTTCTTCCTCCTCGGAGGACTCTTCATTAGACGTCACGCTGTCAAACTCGCTCCCATTCGCACCCAACAACTCGTGCTCTTCGCCCATCTCAAGTAGTGGTGATCATCTACCCACTAACAACTCGGCTTCCTCCCCAGCAACAGGACTCGGCCTTGTGCAAACATTTGCTCTGGGGGAACAGAGGAGTCGGTGCCGAAACGACCAAATTTTTCACCAGAGACAACGTCGACTCAGGCTGATTCGCATGGAAATTGAGGATCTCAGAAATTTAGTGATGGGTAAGGAAGCAATTGTTTTGCTGGTTAGTTAGTACTGAGATGATGAATAAATAAGTGGGCTAACCAAGGGGAGATTCGCTTCACTGAGGGGAAGCAGTGGCCGCGGAAGATGTGGGGACATTAAAATTGTGGGATGGAGGAGGGAGGGATTTATATAAGATGAGGAGATGATGGGGACATTGATGTGCCCTGTGGGGACATTGATGTGCCCTGTGGGGACATTGATGTGCCTTGTGGGGACATTGTCCCTTTGTGCCCACACTTCCGCGGCCACTAAAGTGAAGTGTGGGTTTCTGGGTAAGAGTTCCAATGCTTAATTTGCACAGAACAAATAGGCCAAATGAAACTGGAGAAAGTGCGAAAGAAACGATTATTATGATACTTTCTCTATCTCTTCACTCAACTGGAAATGGAGGTTTTCCAGCGTATGCTCTCAGATTTTCACTCAAATTTGTGTCAATTGATGACAAATTTAATTAGTATGACATTTGCAAAAGACATGATCTCCCAATGGGCACGTTTAGCAGAGATATTTGCATCCGAGGAGGAGAAAGCGCGCAGGAAATTTGGAAAGTGTAAAATTTGTCGCCTTTAAGGCGCACTTTCTCCTCTTTGGATGCAAATATCTCTGCCAAAAATGCCCATTGGGAGATCGTCTCTTTTTTAAATTCTATACTAAATAAGATTCTGATCGATTGACACTAATTTGGGTAAAAATCGGAGAGCAATCGCTCGTAGATCTCTACCGTTCCATTCTCCTGGATAAATAAACCCACTCGCTTAAATTGATCACCTGCAAAACCCATACATTTATTTAGATTTCGCCAACGCAGGCAAATACTTAGGATCCTTAGACAGATACGAAATAATTTAAAATCCTCTCTTCTCTTCTTCCTCCTCCTATTCCTCCTCCGGATACCTGGAAATCAGTAATTTTTTGTTGTTTATTCACCATCAAAAATTGAATTCACGGGAGAATCCCAGTTCTCATTTTTATTTATGAGCTCCTTCTTCTCCGAGTCACATACATACATCAAAAAGTTAAAGAGAGTCGATACTCTTTCGGCTTGACAGTGGCCGCGGAAGCCGTGGGGACATCTGGGGACATTGCCATTTTAGGATAGGGGAGGTTAGGTCGGGGTTTATATAACTTGACGAGATTATGGGGACATCGAATAACCGTGGGGGTATTGTCCCTTTGTCCCCATGCACCCTTCCGCGGGCACTGTTCCCTGACGCAGAAAATAGAGTGGATTGACTGACAAAATCAACTTTTTTTCTTCCCCGACTTGGATAAATAATTGCTTTCTTTCTTTCTTATCTTTGTCTCATATTTGGTTTCCACTGCCACCACAGTCTGTCGTCCCTTATTTGAGCAGTCATCAATTTTTCACCGACTTTTCCTTTGATTTCGGGAAACTAACTTTCATGGTGAGGAGAAGATTTGGGTAAAAATGATTCCATAAAATTGGAATCGAATCCAGTTTGATGATGCATTCAGGCAAAAACTCTACTTCAAGAAAAGTTTCTTGAATGAGGAAGAAAGAAATTAGCAGTTCAAGAAAAACAAGTCCAAGTCCAACTCTACTTCGGGATAGGAGAGCATGTTTTTTTTGGTTGGTGGCTTATTTATAGCATGCTCGACTGACTGACAATGGAGGTCTTCCAGCGGATGCTCTCGGATTTTTAACAAATTTGTGTCAATCTACAGCAAATTTAATAAGTAAGAAATTCGCAAAAGACACGATCTCCCAATGGACACGTTTGACAGAGATATTTGCATCCGAAGGGGCTCCTTAAATTTAGAAAGCGTAAAATTTTTCAACCTCAAAGGGCGCGTTTTGTCCTCTTCGGATGCAAATATCTCTACCAAACGTGCCCATTGGGAGATCGTGTCTTGTGCAAATTTCATGTAAATTGAATTTCTGATTGATTTTCACCAATTTATTATAAAATCGGAGAACATCCGCTGAGAGACCTCCCTTGTCAGTCCAGTTCGTTCAGCCCAATCCATTAAGAAATAAATAAAACAAGACAGCCCCACGAAGATAGACTGTGTAGGAGGAGGCGGAGAAAGTTTAAACAATTGGCCGTGAAGATGAACTAATTTATTTTATTGGTCTTTCCCCATGTGGATGGTTCACCCAGACTAAATAAATTCCTTAGGGGAACAAAAACTTTATTTTCCCAGGGATGGTTACATTAGCCGCGGAACAGATAGACATTGTCCCCACGGTTACTCGATGTCCCCATCATCTCCCCATCTTATATATACCCCTCCCTCCCCTATCCTACAATGTTAATGTCCCCAAATGTCCCCACGGCTTCCGCGGCCACTGCAGAGCTACGTACATATCCCAAGGTTGTTTTTTAACCCGTTTTACTTTCTACACCCACTTTATCTCTGAAATAATTCAATTTAACTCAACGGCAGGTACATATAAAGCACTTTTAATATCGTTAAGAAGATTCGTAAAATATGAGCAAATAATTTGTTCCAAACTTTTCTAACGAAGGTTAATTAAATCATGTAACATATCCTCCGGCTGTAATAGAGTTAAGCAAGCAAAAAGTGTGTATCTGCAGATTTTGCAAACTTTCATGTTTTAGTAATGTCATCGCAGGAGATGAAATGTCATCAAGCATATTCTCAAGGGAAGAGTTTTGAAGGATTTTTTGGAGAGTAAATGATGGATGATTTCCAGATGAAGGTACAATATCGTCGGGTAGAAGGCAGTGTTTCGTTTCTTGCGGGTTTTCCAGATTTCTTGCAGTGGAAGATAAGAAATGTAAGGTGCAAGAAACTGGGAGAAAGTGCAGAAAATATGGACCATCGAGCCACGCGCCGTATGCAGCATGCTCGGCGAGGCGTAGTTTTTTGCCCCGTGCATTTTTTGCAGATCAAAATAGCTACAAAAAAAAACACTTTCTCCCGGTTATTTCTTCCAAGCAGGAGGGACTAGTTTCTTGCACTTTACTTTTCTCACAGGCGAAAGTCGCTGCAATCAACCAGTTTCTTGCCTTTACAAGTAGTTACTCATCAGTGCTTCGTTTCTTGCGGGTTTGGCACATTTCTTGCACTTCAAAACAAGAAACGCAAGAAATGTGAGCTACAATAAACTGGGAGAAAGTGCACGAAATATGCGCCATCTAGCCACGTTTTGTGAAGTATAGCGGCCGGCCGTGGTTTCCTGCATCCTGGAGGTCAAAATATTTACCTCCAAGAAACCACTTTCTCCCCTTTATTTCTTGCAAATCGTTACTTTCACCCGAAACCCTAGAAGCTTTCTGTCTTATCAGCATCATCCACCAGTTCATTTCGCACGCGATTTTCTTTATAATTAATTTTTTTCCCGTCTCGTCATCACTCTTCTTACAACTGACGTTCTTTTTTTATTTCGTGTATTTTTTTATTACAGATCGTTCCATCTCCGAACATCACGCGGGAGGATGCAGCATCAGCTCGTCAGATTTAGAAGGTCAGATTGCATTCTGCTTTTATTAAACTTTCTTTCGTCAGGCAGTGGCCGCGGAAGCTGTATGGGGACATCTGGGGACATTACGCTGTGAGATAAAGGAGCGAGGGGTTTACATTACATGAGTAGATGATAGGGATTCGAGGGAACATTGTCCCTCTGTCCACACCTACCCTTCCGCGGCCACTGTCTTCTCTAGTAGAACAATGCGGGGAGAAAGTACGGGGAAAAAGTGCCTTCTAAATGGAGATTAATCTCACCAGTTCATTACAAATTCAGGCCATGACTTTAATAATGAATGAGACTGGGGAAGCCTCAGGTATAAACCTGAGATTAATTGCATCTCAACACAAATTAGGAGCTACTACTACGTTGCAGACTACAGTATCAATATCGTGTACCATGCAACTCTTACGTAAAAGAGCTTTCCCCATTAACATGCTATCTACGAAGTATGTAGCGTACATAACTTTAAAAATGAGACACACTTTAAAGCACAGTAATCTCTTCTTCCCCGTAGTAAACCTCTTTCATACTCTGCTTTCATGGGGAGATCAACTTTTACGGAGGTTGACAATTCCAATTCTCAATTTCTGTAAAAGTTCAGGTGTGTTTGATATGGAGAGTATTTTTTTTATAAAAGTTCTCTTGGGCAAAATGAAGAATTTAATACATAATTATACCTGATAGCAACCAATTAAAATTTTCATGATTTCCAATAAACGACAAATACGTATTTATTTCGGTCAGTTCCCAATTTTTGAGATTTTTTATGAAAAATCACACGAAACACGAAAAATCAAAGTTTTAACATTTCAAAATTTAAGACGAAAACAGTTCACCGTCGAGTTTTCCACTCTTATTTTTTGAGAAATTTTGTGATCCGTATAATTTATACAGTACGACGCATATTTATTTGTGTATTTCGTCCTCTACTAAAAATAAAAAACTACACAAACATTCGTATTTCATCTTTAATTAAGAGGCTAAATTATGTACAGGAAATTCTTTCCCCCTGATAAAAACAAGACAATAGACCCTCGGCAAAAACAAGATATTTTGCACCTAAAAATTCTGCACGGAGGAGAATAGATAATGAAAAAACAAGGAACTCCATGCTCCACGTGCATGTCCACTATCTCTCTTAGCCATGATTACGTCTCATCTTTTTTTCAGGTCGTTGTGTCTCCTAAAACTTTATGCTATTGCCAAAACACAGAGCAAGGCTAAAGCTGGCTAGTAACTCCCCATTACGCGAATCTTGAAGTCATTTCACTTTCTCTTTCTCTCCTGCACAACAACTTCAACTTTGTGTCATGCAATTATATTCCCTTCTTAGCGTTAAGCCCTCACCGCAAGGACACGGCTGGATTAAACTTGTTCTTACATATAATGGAGGTCTTTAAGGTGTAAAACTCGGATTTTCGTAAGACCATTTTTAGTTTGTTCACTAGAAATAAATACCTATATTTTTGGATTTTTCACTATAAGCTAATTTGAGCGCTAAAATTTTTAAACGGTCTTCCAGCTAAGGTCCCAGGGGTTTCATATCCTGGAAGTTTTCGAATTTTTGACGCGAATTAAAAAATTCGAAAACATGTCACTTCGGGATGACTTATCTGCTTGTCGCGAAATTTGAATTTCAGCATTTTTTTCCCTTTAGAAATCTATAAAAATAATAAATTCTTAATTTTCTAAAAATCGAATTTTTAATATGCCATTCTGAAGATGAAGCACGTTTTCAAATTTTTTAAGGGCTTAAATTCGAAGATTTCCAGGATTTGAAAACCTAATGTGTTGGCTGGCAAACCGACTAAAATTAGCCCCTCCCCACAAATTAGCGCATCATGAAAAATTCAAAACTAAAGCTATATTAATTTTTTGTGGGGAACAAAATAAAAATAGTCCCATAAAAATCCGAGCCTTACACCTAAAAAACCTTCCCTTGATAGTCACCTTAAGACTAAAACCTCTCTCTCCCATTTTTATATTCAGGTCTAGTCTTTGACCAAGACACGGATGAGGATGACGACCAAGACCACGACCACCCCGGTGGTGGTGGTGGTCGGGCAGGCGGATTAAATTTGAATAGGTCCTCATTCCACTACTTGGACGAGCTTCCCAGTTACGACGAATCCATGATTGCCCAATTTGACGAGTCTCCACCACCTTCTTACGACCAATGTACGACCACAACAACCAGGCTCATCTCGTCGTCGACGTCGTCATCCTTTATCTCCTCCAGTAATGCTACCCACCGACCGGAAGTAGGACAAGACCAACAACAACTACAACTTCCTCCTCGGACAAACTATTCATCCCGAGGAGTCGTGATGATGTACGAGGAGAAAGATGTAAACCAGGGCGGCACCAGTCAGCACGAAGGGTGCAGATGATGCTGATCCAAGATCAGACGAACCAGAAACATGTTGACACTTACTCAATCCTAAGCTTGTCTTGTATTGTATGTAAATATGACACAAAAAATTGAAATTTTCACTTTATATTTATGACGTATATTCGCACATCTGCTGCAACTTATTGCAATCTCAAGACCAACATAAACCATTATCAAGTAGAGATACAGAGTCAAACTTTAACTTAAAATACTCAGGGCGACGCTACAATTTAGTGGGAGGCAATTCACGGCAACCTTCGTACAGGGTTACAAGTGATATATATCACTGAGTGAGATTTAGTGAGATTTAATGATATATATCACTCATCTCACTTGGGGCTGAGTGAGATATATGAGAAATAATGAGATAAACTTGTAGTTCATGACCCCGTCCGCTAGGTGGCGCTAGTGGATGGCTCATAAATCTCAGTAAATCTCATATTTCTCATGTCTCACTATTTCTCATTATATCTCAGTGAGATGAGATTTACGAGGGTGACATGAGATTTCTGCAACCCTGCCTTCGTAACTCCGTAGCCACGCAAATTTCTGACGAAAACTTGCGAACATTTCTAACGTAACTTTTGCTTACTAACTTACAAAACCTTGAATTAAGGCATGTTTTGGGCTCGTAAGTTTCCAGGTTACGAAATTTTACGTGAATTGCACCCATTCTGATTCAAATTTTGGAAAATCATTTGAAAACTTTGAATCAAGGAGAACCTTAACCCATATTATATATGTACGTTGTAGCTTTTAAGTAGCATACATAAATCGAGATGGAACTCGTACTTTTCCGTTCGTGCTTTCACTCGCTTTCACTTTCCTTCTTATTAAACGCTAAAATACGTGTGATCATCACTTCACCTAAACTGGAACAGTGAATGAGTCAATGAATGCACCCATTCACCCTGTTCCGCTGGATGGACACGATTTCATCAAAGTTTCCGAAATTCGTGATCCACCAACCACGACTTATATTACTCTGTGACTTTCTCCCTAATATAATACACGTGTGGCAAAAGAATATTGAATTTGAATAGGCTGTCATCAAATGCACGTGCAACCCTCTCCGACTGTACTTATAGTATCATGATCATCACCAGGCAGAGAAGAAGCAGAAGCGCTTCACTCAAGTCGAGTCGAGTCAAGAGTGCTATGTATTCCTTCCTAATACAATTTATGGAAATGGATCATTATCATGCAAATCCTGTCGGTCTGAAGCAGCCGCGCGTAGGAGGAGAGAAAGTAAGGAGGAAGGTGGCACGAATAATATTTTCTGTCAGTAGTTGTACAGACAGTGGCCGCGGAAGGGTGGGGACAGAGGGGCAAAGTTCCCAGGGTTATTCGATGTCCCCATAATTTTAAAATTTGTCAAATCAACACCGCCGGTGTCAATATATTACTTGACTTGGTTAAAATATTGAATCCCAGTTATGATGATTTTGATACCGGTAGTTATAATGTTATGACGGGACGGAAAAATTTCATTACCATTCGGAATCACAATTGTAACCAAGGCGGTTAAGTCATATATTGACACCGTTTTGTTTTGAGTGCATGTTATATAAACCCGGCCCTCCCCCATCCTACAAGGTTAATGTCCCCCGATGTCCCCACAGCTTCCGCGGCCACTGGTTGATAGATAGATAGGATAGCGTACCATAATATTTTCACTGATGTACAGATACTGGGTCATGTTGGTTGGTCCCATGTGTTGTTTTTCTTTTTTGGGGATGAAATGTCAATTTTTATCTCAAAAAAGTACTTAAACCGTGTGTTCGGAAAAAATAGAAAAAATCTCATTTATGAAAAAACATTTATCAGAATTGTTTCGATACGCTCGTGCTATTGTGATTCTCTATTGTACATAAAACTAACACATTTTTAAGGTAAAGTGCTCCAAAATTGGACCGCTTTCTCCGTACTATGTACCAAATGGTATTCATTAGTATTCTATTTCTGTGTAAGATATAAGATATCGCTCAGTCTGTGTGGGTAATACATAGATCATTACGTAAAAAATAACGGTTATGTGATCAGCTTTCACCATCTCGAATTCCAATTTTCGCATGTGTGAATTAACTCACCTTCAGGTTTATGCGCTATTTTAGTTTATTTCTCGTCAAGATTTACATCCTGTTTGGCACAAAGTGAGAGAAAATTGCCCTTCGTATTGTTCTACTATAATAAATATTCGAGCGTGGAGAAAGCTCGATACCAGTGATTTCTTCTACAGGGTGCTTCCGCTTTCACTTCACCATTCACTTTGCATTACTATTGTATTCTTGTAAGCTAAACTAACAGAAGAAGAAGAAGAGGAAAAGTGGAGCTATGCATAAAATAAGTGGAGAAAGTAGAAACATGAGTGAAAGCGGCGTGTTAAGTGTTTGATTTATTTCCTCGCGTCCTTCTCGTTGTTGTGGCTGTTTTCCATTTGGGAGTGTCTGCAAAAGCAGGGGCTGCGGAAGGGTGGGGACAGAGGGGTAATTTCCCCCAGGGTTGTTCGATGTCCGCATCATCTGCCGATATTATGTAAACCCTTCCTTTCTTATCCTAAAATGTTGGCGTCCCCACGGCTTCCGCGGCCACTGTGAAATACTGTGTTCGTATCGGATTCTTTCTCTGCTTGGTACATATCGAAACCATTTTTCATCTAAATTGTTGCGTGAATATGTAAAATGCCAACGCTACCTTTCTTTCTTCTCTTTGTTGTTGTGTTTCTCTCACTTTTCAACTTTCTTCATAAGGAAACCTCTACCTGTATTATTTCATTATGTATTATTCCATAATCATATTAGTATTCTTCTAAGGATAAGCTTATGTTTATGTACATATGCGGTGTATTTTTAGTCGCATTTTTTATCCTGGAAAAGTAAGTGGATATAATATCAGGTCCTTCGTAAAAAGTTTTTTTTATGTATTTTTGCCCATCATCCTTTCTGAGATTTGCTACCTATGTGTGTACTGCCAGTGGCCGCGGAAGGGTGGGAACAGAGGGGCAATGTTATAATCCTTTTTGTGAAATTTGCTACCTATCTACTGCCAGTGGCCGCGGAAGCGTGTGCGGACAGAGGGGCAATGTCTCGACGGTTGTTCGATGTCCGAATCGTCTCCAAATCTTATATAAACCCGTCCCTACCTAATTCTACAATGTTAATGTCCCCACCGCTTCCGCGGCCACTGACCACTGAGGCAGACAGGTACGTATTATGGATGTAGGTATGTATGTATGCACTGCTTTGTGATTCAATGCGCTGGTATTGAACTAAATAAATCTGCTCCTGTTGTTGGCCGGATGCCCAAACGTGCATGAGAAATATATATGTCGTAAAATAAATCGTGCATGAAATTGGTGCAATATCACAATTTTTCCTTACTCGGATAGCTTATCATCGGCATCGTTACATTACAAACAACTACCATTGTCGTCACACTTTCACTGAATTTTACTGAATTTTTAGGCTAATATTTTGTAAATACACGTACACAAAAACTTGGCTCATATAACTGAAAACTATGATTACTTGCTCTGCTGCATTATGTGGACGGGAACCAATTTATTGCCAGAGCAGGTACGCAGTGGCCGCGGAAGGGTGACAATGTCCCCACGGTTGTTCGATGTCCCCATCATCTGCCCAGCTTATATAAACCCCTCTCTCCCCTATCCTACAATGTTAATGTCCCCACAGCTTCCGCGGCCCCTGGACCAGATACTACTACTGACATGACTTTTCTGCTTTCTTTCATGTCCAAATCATGCAACCTCTTTTGGTGCTGATTAAAAAATCGATTGGGTTTCCTGCCCAGGAAATAACTCCCTTTTTTATTAACAATGCGGAATCTTGATCAATTTTCAAAGTGGTTGGTGTACGTATATTCGTATGGAATTGACAGATGAATCTGGGCACTTAGTTATTGGAGTAATGCTAGCCAAGCTAAAATAAAATTTTAATGGATTGTTTATATCTGCACAGGCTGCCCTTGTGTTTATGATGTTGTTAAAATGTCATGTAGCCAGGGGCCGCGGAAGGGTGGGGACAGGGGGGCAATGTCTCCATGGTTGCATAATTTGCCCATGTTATATAAACACCAGATCCGCCTCCCCAATCCTACAATTGGAATGTCCCCACATGTCCCCCCCCGCTTCCGCGGCCACTGGATCTCGCTGAAAGTGAAATGTCATCATGCAACGTTCCAGACACGGATGTGTCTCGTATCGTATCCGTACATATAAATATTTAACGTATCACTATAAAAAAAATATTATTGCTGGGGAAAGTAAAAGTGCAATTTCACAGACATTTTGTGAGTTATGAGTACACATTAAAAATATTGAAAAATATGGAAAATATCAATTAAATATAAGTATTAAATATCTGTATTTAGAGAAATCTGTAAAAAAAAATGTACATATTTAAAGGAGCGGCCGACTATCAGTGTTGTCTTAATTTTTAAAAATATTTATAAATACAGTCATGCACCGAGTTATCAGACATCCTTTTGCCATACTGATTTTTACTCTGATTCTGATTGTAGACCCAGAAACAAAGCGGGAATTCGATATAGATTCAAATTTTTTGAGTCTAAAGATTTTGTCAAAGCCGAATCACTCTTGCGGTTGATTGTCGAAATATTTTTAAAAATCCCGCATTTTCACAAACACAATCAGAAATATTAACATTCTACAGTATGCAATCGAATCAGATTAAAATGACTGTAGGGAAAAGTGTCTATTTTTCCCCAGCTTTCTCTCTCCCCTTGTGTCAATTCTATTCTATTTGCTTCTAATTTTCCGCTAATGTGGGAATAAACCCAGTCAATTGTAAATAATCTCAGCATTTTACGTGATTGATTAACTGTGTTATGTTTACTCAAGGGAACCTTGACAATAAAGTATTTTTGTGTCTTATTTATAAAACCGCACACAACTTTCACACAAACTGGGCTGCCTGCACTCTCTATAATTTTGTGACACGATTGTTACCGGCGGTGACTCTTATAAAACTGGTATTAAAGCATTACTGGCCGGGGTACATCTATGACTCTACCAGGACTGGTAATGACGGGCAGTACGGTTTAATAATGTTGCGGCAATGAAAAATTTACCAGTCAGAGACAATCTACTAGAAATCCGATATAAAATTATTACCAAATCAGTATCGGTGAGGAGTATATATTTGAGTCTACCAGATTTTTAACAGTGTATACAATTCTACCGCGTGGTAACACTATGGTAATAAGGTGTCTTCTTTAAGGAGGGGAGCTTGCGAGGTTGATAATAACAGATCTTGGTGCCCTTTGGATATGTGGTAGGGACCCATGAGTGTACTAAAAC